ACTTATTTGTAAGTCTATAAGAGATTCAAGCTTTTCTCTTCAGAGAGATAACTTCTCATGATCAACTTTTTCAACATTTAAAGAAGAAAATTGATTTTTAATCAGAGAGTATAGTCTGTACAGTTGAGAAGACATTTTCTTTGAAGAATTATTTTCATTTCAATGTGGTTCGGAAGAACGTACGACCGTCAGATAATAACGCGGCCGCTTCTGAACTACTAGTGTACGAATGTAAAGAGGGGCTCTAGCGGCCACTAATTAACTTAGTGTACGAGATTCAATTTATAAGAAGCCGGTGTACGCCTGTAATCATATGCTGGCTTAAGCAACCTTTGAATCACATCTGATAGCATGTCTAAAAACTGGTGAGAAGTGCAGACTTCTCCAGAGCATGATAATTCTGTCTATGAAGTGATTTGTAGTTATCATACCAGTGTGGTTCTAGAACATCTCAAAAGATAGCATATGAAGAGTGATGAGTGAAAGAGCATCTGATTGATGCTGCTTCGCTTGTTGAGGGAAAACTCCACACCCAGGTGAATGCCATGTATGAGACACAAACAGAAGAGATGTGAGAAAGAAGATGAAAGCAGTGAATCAGATTCAAAGAAGTTCACTTTCTACTCAAAAGAAGAATAAAAGAAGGAAGTGATCATCACTGAAGTCATACAATGATAACAGAAATCATATAATGATATAGTGATACAGCAATATAGCAATATAATGATAGACATTGTACAATTAATAAGAAATCACTGAAATGAATATCTTCTCTAGTTAATATAAATAACACTCTTCTCTGCTATCTGAACTGAAAGATATGCAGAATCTCTCAGAGAGTTTACTTAAAGTAGTAAGAAAAGCAGCTGAGACTGCTGAACTGAAATCAAAGCTTCATATATGTATGAGGATTCTAAATGAGATCAAGGTCTTGCATATGCAGTAGCAGGCTGAGATGAAAGCTAAACAACAATTGACATTTGCTGCAGATTAAGCATTCACTATGAAGAGCTTCATCAACACAATTATTATCATTAATAAGAATAGAGAAAACCAGATCTTAGACCTGCAGCAGAAGATTGAATATTACACAGATAGATGACTACACTGAATCTGAAGATCTCATTATAATTATTCACAATCTCTTCAGAAGTATACATATCATCAGAGATCACTGCACAGAATGAGAATTCAAGCATGAAATATATCAAGCTGAGAGATCTGTTGAAGCTATTAAGCTTTAATAATGACTGAAAAAATAATGCTGTAATCAGCTGACTAAGTCAGATATAATCATATTATCAGATTAAACATGAACTCACAGACAGATAGTTAACAGAATTTTAACAAGTCTTAAGATCTGCTGTATTTCTATATGAAAAAGTAAAGTTATTATGAATGACTGATGAAAAGATAAATCTTACAGACTCAGAGTAATATTCTTTCTTATAAATATGAAATGAGTTTTTCAAATGAATCTTGCATAACTTTGAGAAAGTGAATATACAAGACAAGTATTATGAATGCTTCACTGAGTGTAGATAAGTAAGTAATCTTATATTATACTTCACACACTTCAGCTTATACTATCTTATATTGAATGAAGAGCTTTCAACACTCTTCTATTTACAGATCTTCATTCATGATCTTACACCTGAGTTGAGAGCAGAATGAAAATACTTAATCTCATAGTCAGATACAGTGAAGAAAGTATATAATATTCTTATTATATAAGAATAAGTAAGTCAATTGCAACAGAAAATACTGCAATTAAGTATATCTCAGTGAAGAACAGATAATCAGACTTCTATAACACAAGTCATACACTCAGATATGATAAATCTAGATCTGAATGTCATTGCTAAAGCACTGAATTCTCTGAAAAAGAAATCCTCTGAGTGAAAATCTTGATATCACAAGCATTGAGCTTACTTCAACTGCAGACACTAAAATCACAGTGTAAAAGATTGCACTCAGTATACACAGTCAAGAGAAGCAAGAGAGTCAAAAAACTAGTAGAATCAGTGAGCTTGAAGACACTCACTGATATTCTATGAAAAGTCATCAAAGTGAAAGAGATGCCTGTATTAGATAACTCTCTAAATTCTGTGAATATCAAGAGAAAGTAGGCTTCTGACTGAGATGTGAGTGAGAATGAAGTGAACACTCATCTCAATGTCTTGAAATCTGAAATGTTAATGTATAAGAGATACTTAAGTAAGAATTAAGAGATGACTGTAAAAGTGTTAACAGACACAGAAGCTTCTATATAATATATTAATAATTATATAATCTGAAGATTGAAAGAGATCTGCTGAGTAGAGAATCTCTAATATATAAGATTATCTGATAATCAATATTTGATATTATCTGTAAAAGTAAGAGTTCTCTTGCACTTCAGAGAATGATCTTATTATATTTGAGTATGAGAGCTGTAGAATATGAAATACAATCTTATTCTCAGACTTAATTAATTTCAAAGGTTCAATCTGCAGATTCAATGATGTATATGTCATATGTGATTAACTGATAAGAAGAAAATGATTTATACAATTCTATTAACTGATATGAGAAGAACATTTCATGTCTCTGATATAGAAGAATTACATCTGCTTATATATTAATAAGTAAAGAGAATAATTCATAAGATCTTATCTGAAAGCATTCTGTATGTCATACAGAACCTGAAAGCAGAGAAAATCAAGATAAAGAATATACAGAAGAACAAGCATATGAAGAAGCTTCTGAAGAAGTATAAGAAGATCTTTTAAACAGATCTTTTATCAGAATTGCTGCCAGAATGAGAATTTGTACATGAGATTTATATAAGAGACACAAAATCAGTCAATCAGAATGCATACTCTCTGTCACAAATGCATCTTGAAGAACAGAAGTATCAGATCATTAATCTTCTAGAACATGATCTCATACAACTCTCATCAAGTATGTGAGGCTTTCCAGTTCTATTTATGAAAAAGATGAGTGAGAAGTGACAGATGTGTATCAATTATCAAGTACTTAATAAGCTTATAATCAAGAATGAATATTCACTGTCACAGATTCAACAACAGTTGAATACAGTCAGAAACATCTGATATCTATCAAAGATTAATCTTCTCTCAGAATACTGACATATCTGTATAGATGAACTGTCAGTCTCATAAACTGTATTTAATACACAATGAGAGAAGTTCAAATTCCTGGCAATGTTATTTGATCTGATAAATGCACTTATCATCTTTCAAATAATGATGAATACAATTCTTCATGAACAGAATAGAATCTTATATCTTATATATCTCAATGACATTCTAATCTTTTCAAACTTATACAATAAACATCTGAAGTATCTCAATGAAGTGCTTATAACTCTGACAGAGTATAAGCTCTATGTTAAACTAATTAAATGTGTGTTTGAAACAGAAGAGTTGAAGTTCATAGAACATGTAGTGAGTGATAACTGTATACATCTCATTCTGAAGAAATTGAATGTCATAGCAAATTGACTACAGCTGAGAAATATACATCATGTATAACAGTTTCTTAAGTTAGTCTCATACTATCACAGATTCATCAAGAATTTCATACAAATATCTGCATCACTCTCAGATCTCTTAAGAGAAATAAATGTAAATCTGCAAAAGAAGAAGTTTCATTTTATTATCTGAAATATCATGTGTGAAGGGACTTTTCTCACACTGAGAGAACATGTAATAACATTCTCAGTGCTTATTTAATCAGATTATGATAAACCTTTCTACATCAAGACAGACACATTTAAATGAGCTATTAGAGACACTCTTCTACAGATGAGTAAGAACAGCAAGCTGTATCTAATAATATATAATGATAGAAAACTATCAGATGCTGAGCTCAATTATTCAGTGTATGAAAAGAAATTGCTAGTAATCAAGCATATACTGATATTATGAAATAGATATATCAATAACAGGTATATAATAATAATGATTATGAATCACAAAAGCCTCATCTATCTATAATTAATAATAAAACCTTTCAAACACTTAGCACATTGAATCTCAGAGTTTCAAGTGTACAATCTTCATATCAAATACTGAAAGAAATTGAACACTGTGATGTCTGATACAATCAGTCACAGACTTGATTTCATGAATGAGAGTTCTGCAAATCAGGTACAAGAGATGTTCATGTTAAACATGCTGAGAGAATACAAGGAATCAGAATGAGTGAACACTATAATCTCTCATTTGAAGAATGACAAGATATCAGATGATAAGTATCTTGTGAAAGTAGTAGAAGAGATGCATTCAAACTTCAAGCTGAGAAAATTGAAAAACAACATTGTGCTTTATCACAATTTAGAATATGCAGAAGCTCTCTATCTAGAATCTTCATTTCAATATGACTTAATGACTCACATGCACAAGAAATTCAGTCACTTAGAAAGCTCTGAACTCATGAGTATACTTGAACTAAGAGCATACTGATTAAGCATAGCTGAGAACATTCAGATATACACTCACAAGTGTCTGAATTATCAGATTGTGAAAAAATCTAAGAAAGAATTAGAATGTAAGAAAGTATAATATCAGATAAAGTGTATAATATAACTGTTTAAACAATGAGAGATGAATCTCATAGATATATTACTATAAATATCAAATGAAAATTAATGAATAATCACTGCTATTAATTACACTACTAACTGATCAGTTGTAAAAGCAGTTTCAGAGATGATAGAGAAGATGATAGCAAAGTTCCTATATAATGAGATCTATGTTAACTATGAAATGCTGTGTGAGATTCTAACTGATAATAGTGTGAATCTCATAGAAGAAGCAGTGAGGCATTTCATGAGTCAGTTACAGATAAGATATTATAGAACAACATCATATTATTTATAAATAAACAGGAAGATGAAACACTTGAATGAAATCTTGAGTAATATGCTGATGAAATATCTAGTGAGCAAGTCTATGAGACTATGAGATAAATATCTCGGGCAGGTGCTGTTGACCATGCAGATTCAACAGCATGCAGTCTTCAAGTGTTCACCATTCTACCTGTTGTATGGATTGCATCCGCGCATCCCGGAGAATGCTTCGGAAAAGGTGAGAAAGAGAGCAGTTGCGGACGCAGCAGGAACAGCAGTTGCAGATGCAGCAGGAACAGCAGTTGCAGATGCAGCAGTCGCGGACACAGAACCAAGATTGAAAGAGATCAGCCACACACGCGCAAAAGCTAACAAGTTACTCCTGAACTGAGCAATTCAATTGAAAAGAATACAAGACTCACTTGTTAAGAAATCAAGTCTTAAGATGAGAACATGAGTTCTTATACACAATGAGAGTTCTGAGAAGTTTCAATCTAGATGATTTGAGTCATATAAGATACTCAAATCACATTCTCTGAGAACATATGCATTGAAAGAATCAGAGAGACAGATCTTACACAACTTAATAAATGATTTACAACTTATAAAAGCAAAGATATAAGACTCAAGTGAATTATAGTTATTCACAGTACTATTATCAGTATTAAAAAAGAAGAGACTTACAATTAAAAAGTCTTACAAAGTAAGAGAAATCATAGACACTTATGAATCAGATAATCTCACTTATTCTGATCTTTTCACAAGTATAAGAAAGAATGAGAAGAAATGAGAAAGTCAGATAAACATCACACTTTAATAAGTGATAAGACTGTAGCTAATTATATAATAATACACTACAGACAGTGAGTGTAACATGATAAAGAGCAGTCTTAAAGCAGCAGACTTATACATAAGTCAGATCACAGAAGAAAAAGAAATTCAGAGTTGAATTCAACTGTTTATATCAGTTTAATTACAGAGATCACAGAGAATGAACTATCTAAAACATTTATAAATATATGAGATTAAGTCATCTTGATCTCTGAGAATACTCAGAGATCAGATGAAATTAGTTTCAATGAGCTGTTCACTGTAGTAATCTAAGTGAGTGAAGAGAGATAGTATAATACATGAGACAGAATTACAAAAGATGAAAGCTGCTGAACCTAGTCACTGAACACTGTATTATATAGAGATTGCATAAGAGTAGTGACTAGCAGATAAAGAAAAAGTGTAAGAAAAGAGATAATGAATTGATCATCAATTGTAAGAGTCAGCTGCAAAAGATAAATATTATTATACACATCTTATTCATTTTCATATGTTATATATTTAATCTATTTCCAACATCACATCATCTGAAAAATGTTAAAAACTAAGAAAATCTCAAAACTTGAGATCTGTAAGAAATTTGAGAGTTGTAAGCTACTGTTATAACAACACTGTGCATGTCTCTGATTTCTCTATCACTCTGTATACAATATTAATGTCATTTATTGCAAGATTGACTGAAATGTCAATATAGAAATGCATATGTGTATGTATAGAGAAATTGATGAAGAGCACAGAATCTACAGAACTAGAAGTCAGAGTAGAGAGAACAGAGATGAAAGAAACAGAAGAAGAAGAAGATATAGAACTGAATAAATGACAGAAGTCACTCAGAGCTGAATACTTATAACTCAGTGTATGCATAATCTTCTCTGCAGAGAAGAAAGAGAAAGCAACAGAAGAAGTTTAAGAGTGAAAGAGAGTAGTCTCAGTGATATTATCATCTTCAATCAGAATAGTCTCTGACACTGAAGCAACTAAGAATCATTATTAATATGAAAATTACAAAATCAGAGATGAGAACAGTTACTGAATGAACACCTGCTGATCTTAGAGTTATACATGCAATTATAACATGCATGAGACTTCTCAGAAAGAGAGAGAGAGACATAGAAAAATACAGAAAGTAGAACACAGTATATGAATGACTTATTCTCACAATGACATCTCAGATAAGATATACAAGCCTCACACTCACAGATGTAAAAGAGTATAACATTCACATTTCTGTTTCTGAAAACATGAATATCTTTTATCTGCATTATAAAGTTGAATAACAGATATCAGAGAATAGACTGATATAGATCTATTATTCTGAAGAAATTTATCAGAGTGAATATCTCAGTAATGTTGAACTTTACAGTTATAAAAAGTTTCTTAATATCTATGAATATCATGACTTCATACACAGTAAAATTCATAACAATTTTCTCTAAGAACAGAAAAATCAGTGTCAGAAAGAAAAGATAAAAAAGAAAAAGACTTATAATCTTAATACTGTTAAGAAGAGAGATGATTCTCTGATATAAATAAATAATTTTCTCATCATGAATATTTAAAATGAATATAATAATCAGTATCTGTGACTGAGCTTCAGATAGTCATATCATATGCTGTCTTTGTACAATAAATTATTCTAGAGGTTGATAAGAAGGATGAAAGTGTATGTACTGAGAAATGTGATTCACTGAGCCTATGCAACATCTCCTTGAAATGGGAAGAGCTAGTAACAAAGGCAGAGACAGTAAAACCAGAAGTAGTAGAAGTAGAGATCGCGGGAACAGGGGTAGCAGAAGTGGGAGAACCAGACACAGAAGCAAGTGTAGAAGATTGAGAAGTGACAGAGAATGAAACAGAGAGAGAAGCAGCAGAGAAAGAAGCAGCAGAAGAGGCAAGAGAGAATATAGAAGACTCAGCCACACATGACATGAGCAATTTCTTCATTATCGCGTTCTTCAGGTTCTCAATCAATGATTCAATATTGAGTTCACTATCATTGATGAATGTGAATCTGTCAATGTGTGAAGATTCTATATGAATAAAAACAAACATCAGCATCTGCATTTATGCAAAATTGTGTCAGAAAACACAATCAGAAACCTGCTGAAGAAAACAGTCAGAGATATATAAGAAGATAAAGAAGATATGTCATTCATGATAATATGTTATTCTGATGATCATTAAAAGATAAACAAGTCCTGATCATGTTTCACAATGTGTTACACTTACTGCTAACAAACTGCCTGATATAGACACTATGATGATGCTTGTTGTGAGAATGAAAGACCATTGCCAGAAATGTGTATAAAGTGATAGATGAACAGATAGAAGGAGTTGAACAGAAGAAGAAGTAGAAATCTTGAATGAGATAATGATGTTTGAGAATAACAATGATGAAGATGATGATTGAAGAATGAGAAAAGTTAGTGAATGAGTGATGTAATATAGTGAAAGTTTCTTTGTAAGAGTGTACACAGAATGCTAGCCAAATCAGAGATAGATCACATGATTATGAAATGCTAGTGACAAGCTAATCTGCATGAAGCTAGAGTGTACAACATGATCATGTGAGCATGACTGAATCTGATGAGAGAGGATGTGATTCGGAAGAATGTACAACTGTCAGATAATAACACGGCCGCTTCTGAACTACTAGTGTATGAATGTAAAGAGGGGCCCTAGCAGCCACTAAATAACTTAGCGTATGAGATTCAATATATAAGAAGCCGGCGTACGCCTGTAATTGTACGCTGGCTTAAGCAACCTTTGAATCACATCAATCAAGAAATCTATTTCAATTCAGTTCATTTTCAGAGTTAATTGATGAAAATGAAGAAGAGACTCTTTCTCTGATTATATAATTTAAGCTTATCTTTATAACTCTCAGAGCATAGTTCATACAGGCCTTTTCAAATCTAATAGTAGAAGAAGGAATTGAAGCATCAATTTTCATTGCTTTAATAGAAGATGATTTGAATGCTCTCAGAATTCTTCTCAAGACTCTGTTTTACAGACTTTGAAAGAGTTCAGTGAAATTCTCTTGATTATTTCATTAAACTTGAACTTCATAATCAGCTACTGATGTAATACAGGCTATATATAACTGTCTCATAGCCTGAAAGAATATACCTCTCTCTGTATTTAATAGTCTGATTATATTGTTCAATAGTCTTTCTGTCTTGACAGTTCTTTATTAAATATGATATTTAAAATTCAACTTGAAGTTTAATCATACTTCTAATCATTTGACATTTACACTGAGTTTAATCTCTCTATTTAAAAGAGTTAGAGATAGTTCTTTCTTATTAAATCTAGAAAAGAACTGAATTATCTCAGTTTTATTCATATTAAATTGAATTTGATTAATATCTGCTCTAACAAAGATTTTCTTTGCAGCTTCTTCAATTACTTTCAAATTCTCTTTAATAGTTTTTGAGCTGTAGACTAGATCAATATCATTCATATAACTCAGAGATCATACTATTCTCATATTTCTATTTTTAAATAGATATACAGTGTATATTGCAATTAAAATAAGTGAGATTGAAGATTCTTATGATACTTCTATTTTTAAGTCAGTCTTATCTTATTTTATTTTATCAAAGAAGAGTTGTATAATTCTTTTAGATATAAAACAGTTAACTTATTTTATTAGAGAAAGTAGTAGTTTTAATATCTTTAATATCTGAATTAACTTTGACTTTGAAACATGATTAAATGCTTCTTTTATATCAATAAAAACTGCAGTTGAGATCAGATTCTTATGCTTTGCTATTTAAATATTATGAATAACTGAGAGAACAGTGTCAATTGCAGAACACTGTTTTCTATCTCTCATTTATTCACTGAATAAAAGAGAATCACTTATAGAGCTTATAAAAGATAGTTAAGTAGCTATTATCTTTTCTAAAATCTTTTCTAGACAGTTCAGCAGAGATATTACTCTATATGACTTAGAAATTAAACTTTTTCTATTAGATTTTGTAAGAATCACTTCAGTGGCTTCTCTTCAGTATTCAGAATAATATTCATTTTTCAAGAGATTGAAAAAGAGCTCAAAATATTTATTCTTTAAGTAGAAGTATGTATTTTGAATAATTAAGTGATTAATTGAATCAGGCTCTGCAGCAGTCTTAACTGAACTTGAGAAGATAGCTGACTCTAGTTCATCTTGAGTAAGATCAGATCATTCTCAGTTATTTTCATTAATATAGTTGAGATATGATATATTCTCTTTCTCTGAATCTGAATCTGATGAGTTTTGAAAGAGAGTTCTTATAAAAGCTTAACATTTTTTCTCAAAGAAGTTTGCTGTATATGATTCATTCTGAAACTCATACTCTAAGATTGAAACTTTTGCTACACTTCTTGTTTTAGTATAGTTAAAAGCTTTAAAAACTTCTTTTTCTTATACTTCTTTAAGAAATTTATTTCAGCAGTCTGTTTTAGCTTTTTTAATATCTGAAAAATATTCATTTCTGACAGCTTTGAACTCTTTATTAGAAATTATATCATTCTTTCAATCTCTTCTAGCAGTAGTCAATTGTTTCCTTTTAGATG